GCTTTCTGTCTCTTTGTCTGTCTGGCAAGCGCACGCGTCCTATAGCAAAAACCTCTCAAAACAAAACAAAACAAAATAAAACAAAACAAAAATGGCTTCTTTATCTTATCCTTGGGAAGCTCCTCTGCTGGAGATGCTCCTCTGATCTGTCCCATCCACCTGAGGGAATACCCGCATGTTTTTCAGGTAAGCTCCAGGTGGACCTTGTCCATAGAGTCTTGTCTTACCCTCTTGGGCAGCATTGAACACTGGGCCTCTATATTTTTCCTGTACCTGTTTGTATTGCCTCCTTAGCAAAAGTGCATGTGACTCCTGTCTTTCTCTACTAGAAAGTTAACCCCTGGAAGGCTGAGATCACTTATTTAGTCTCTGTCTCTCAAAGCAAAGCGTAGTACTTGGCCCATGGTAAGTTCTCAGTATATAAGAGGTCTTCAGAGAGTTCGTAGAAAATGTATATTTTATCAAAACCCATGGTACTCACTTTGATATCCCATACACTAAAATTGGAATAATACAGAGAAATTAGCATGGCTTTGAGCAAGGATGACATGCAGATTTGTGAAGCATTCCATATTTTCTAGTAGACATAAGAATGTATATAAATGAGGAGAGGCTATGGGAGGATGTGTCACAACAGCATAAAAAATATGGATAATTTAATGTGAATAAAAAAAATAACTCTAACGTAGTAGAACTGTTAACAAATGTGTACAATGTTCAATGATAGAAATGAATAGTGTATATCCCTGATTTGATTATTGTATACTGTAACATGCTTTAGGAAAAAAATACAAATTTTGTATCAATTATTTGCAAACCAGGAATCATAACTTTTTTAAAAAAACATGCATGGATTTTAAATATTTTGCTCCCAAATAATCTTATACCTTAATCCCATTTTCCATGAACTTCTTGAAGTACCCTCATATATATTTTTTAAAAGGCAAAATTCTTTGTTTTCTCAATGTCAACTGTAGTATAGTGAACACATTAGTTACTCACCTTCCCAAAAAAGAAAAGAAAAATAAATTCATGGCAGTAACCCCTCAAATATTTCTCTTTCGTCTGAACCAACTGTGTTTGTTCCTTTCATTTTTGTTGGTGTCCTCAACTTCTGTATAAATTATATATCTTCTTTCCACAACTCTATGCCCTTTGCAAAGTTAATCAACTTGGCCTTCCACTGTTTTTGGTTTTGCCTTTCTATTTGTTGTACCAGTTTTTTACAGCAGGCATCCCATGGTGGGAGGGAGGACGAAAGCACAAGACTATGTTATTTCTGGTTTTCTGTTTTATATATGCACAAACTCATATGTATCATTTCACCTCGCACAAATGCAAGCAGGAAACTTTCACCTTGTTTGTTATGACTTCTTTCCTACTGTTCTCAGTGTGAGCCTTGCTAGATCGATGGCGTTAAAACTATAATGTTTTCTTGTATTCTTGGAATGATTTATGTTAAAATGTGGAGAATCAGGCATGAACAAAGCAAATTAGGATAATCAAGGAAATACACCTTTTAATTAGGAATGTGTGTGTGCATGTGTGTGATTTGTGACTATGTAGTATACTCACATGTTTAAAAATCAAAATAGTGGGACTAGCAGATGGTGTAATGGCTATGTCGCCAGACTCCCATGTAGTTGACCGCAGTTCAATTCCTGAACCCAGTGGCTTAAACTCATGCTGGGCGCATGTGCGTGCATACCCAAGATCCTGAGAGGAGAATGGAGGAGAAGGGATTATGGTGTGGCCATTCCCCCTGGGGGGTGATTTTTTAATTTCTGTCTCTGTCTCTCTCTTTCTGACTAGTGGGCACACCCTATAGCAAGAACCTCTCAAAAAAAAAAAAAAAAAAAAAAAAAAAAAGAGAGAGAGAAGAAAAGAAAAATCCAAACAGTATAACAAGGCATAGTCTATTTCCCATTTCATACATGTAAGACACCACAATATACACACCATTCTGCTCCTTGCTTTTTTTCAATTTCTTTACCAATAATGACTTCACTTTTTTTAAACACACTTTTGTTATAGGGTGCGTGTGCTTGCCAGAGAGAGAGAGAGAGACAGAGAGACAGAAAGTGAGAAATTATGGGATACAATCATTCTTCACCAATAATAACTTCATTTTTTAAAAGACATTTTTGCTATAAGGTGCATGTGCTTACCAGAGAGAGAGAGAGAGACAGAGAGAGACAGAGAGACAGAAAGTGAGAAATCACCCCCCAGGGAGGATGGACATGATGCAGTCCTTCTCTCAGGATCTTGGACACACATGCACAAGCACTTATGCCTTCTTTTAAACTGCTAGGTCAAGGACTTGAACCATGAACTACGTGGGAGTCCAGTGATGTAACCATTATGCCTTCTGCTGGTGCCATGACTTCATTTTTCTTAACTGCATAATATTATTTCTTTCTGTCCTCTAGTTTATTTAGTTAATTCTCTGTTGATGTGCTGTACCCAATCTTTTGCTGTTATATATAGCATTTCATGCATAACAAACATAACACACATATTCAGCCTGTTTTCTAACTTGTAGTTTGGGGCAATAAATATTTTTCCTTATTTTTTTTCCTCTTCTCTCCCTGTTCTATTCCTCCACTTTCTTTTCTTGTCTTGTTAAACAGACTCCAGTGATACAATTAAATCACAGCCTAAAATGCCCTAAATATTTAGGCTTTTTGAGAGTGTTTACCAATAACCTCCATGGCTTTCTTTCTGACCATGAATCTGTTTTTCTCTTTCATTCAAGAGAAAATTTCGATAGCTCCCTTGTTCTCACTCTCTGCTATACTCTTATGGTGAACTGATCCTTATGGCTTCAGCCTGTACTCAGGCTAATAGGAATTATTCCCTTGAATATTCTTCAGATAATCATGATAGATTCCTCCTTTATTCTCCCAAACTCATCAGGCACATGAAAATTTAATCATAACATTGTGCATTGATTTTCTGCACTTTATCAACCATCAACTTCCCATAATACAATAAAAGAGATCATGAGTTTTCAAGAGTTTTACTGAGTTCTCTTTTAGTTTATTCCTTAACCTTTAATTATATATAAAGCACAATGTGGGGGACCCATTGGGGAGAGGAGTAGAAAGACAAATTTAATAAGGAACCATTTCTTGCCATCCATTAGTCCATTTTCAGAATGAAAGACTTTGTGTCCCTGAGTCACATATTAGATGTAATTTTCTTAGTCATTCAAATTTTTCAATTAAATAATTAGATGCAATTAATTCTTGCATATATCCAGAAATAGTGGACAATGAGTTGTTTTTCCAAGTTAACTTTCCATATGGTTCCACTTTACTCTTGAAGTGTTAAACCTTCTTAAAAGTGCTCAATTATTTTGGATGGAAGTTTTCCTAAACTATATTACAAATGTTTCTAAAAAAGAGAACATATTATAATGTGACCTTTTCTTTCCTCACTAAAAATTGAGAAAGGTTGTACAGGGTGCTCTCTAAGGCCCTTTAGCCTTCAAGTTTTCACAATCCTGCGATGATTGCACCATCCATTATTGTAGAGTGATTATGCTATAGTGGTGCTCTCTGGGCCTATTGAGAACTCAGTAGTGTTTGCTCCCTATAATAAATAGTTCTGTCTGCTTTTAAAAAGTCTGCTTTTTAAAAATTGCTGACATAAAGACAATGTAGAGAACACTGGGGAAGTATTAAGGTGGAAGAAAGTCGTAACATTGCACCATCCTCACATTCACATTGCTCCACTTTCTTTTTTTGTGTTTTAGACTTTTCTCTGAAATCTCTTCTTTTCATGTACAGTCTTTATAATTTTCTTTTGTAAAATTTTCTCTATTTTTCTTTTTGACTTGGGCCTGAAAATACCTTATCGGCCATCACTAGGACAGGGAATTTTTTTGTTGATTGTTAAATTCTTTTGGCTCTTTCATGAAATTATTTGACTTTTGTCTGGTTTCTGGTTTTAATCTTGAAAAGGCTGCTATTTGTCTCAATTATCCTTCCTTTGTAGGCAGTTGCTCTTCCTTTGTAGGTAATTATTTTCCCTTTGCTTTTGGCTTTCTACAACTTAGCACAATGTGAGACTATATTCCCTTTTGTTCATGTGTTCTCGGCTACTATTTCCTTGAATATTATTTCCTCCCATTCTATTAGCCCTTTTATAACTGATTTAACATTGGCTTGGCCTCTTTTTTTTAAGGTTTTTGCATAGAGTGCATGTGCTTGCTGGAGAGACGGAGAAAGATAGTAAGAGGAAAAGTGAGAAATCACCATCCCCTTAGGGTGCATGGCCACATCACAGTTCCTTCTCCTCCATTCAACTCCTGGGATTTGGGGCATATATGTACACACCCCTGGTGTGTTTCAAGCCACCAGGTCTGAGACTTGAACTCCAGTCAGCCATGTGGGAGTCTGGTACCTTAACCACTCTGCCATCTGCTAACGCCTGGTTTGGCCTCCTTTTAAGAAAAGTTTATTCAGGTGTAGTGTTTATGTCTCTGGACTCCCTCATGGCTGACCATGGTTCGAAACCCAGACTTGGTGGCTTGAAATTGCTCGAAATTCACAGTGAGCATGTGTGTGTGCCTCCCCAAGATCCCAGGAGATGAAGGGAAGAGTGAGGATTGTGGTGTAGCCATCCCCCAGGTGGTGATTTCTCACTTTTCCCTTTCATTGTCTCTCTCTCTCTCTCTCTCTCTCTCTGGTGAGTGCATGAGCCCTAAGGCAAAAGCCATCAAAACTTTTTTTATTCATTTATTTCTCTCATGAACAAGAGAGACAAATATACAAGCACTCCAGCAGGGTCTTGATGCCACAGTCTACTCCCAGTTTCAGCCAGTTCTGGATCATGGGCTTCTTCTGTACTCTTGTCTTGGGAGTTTGGGCACACATGCATATGCCCCCAGTGTGAGTTTTAAGCCACCAGGACTGGGGCTTGAATTGCTGTCAGCTATGTAGGAGTCCAGCCACGTAACCGTTATGCCATATACTGGTCCCACTTCTTATCATAGTTTTAAAATCCTCACTTTCTCTGCTTTCTGTGGTGCTTCTGACTTGGCCCCCTAGTCACTAATTCTCTTGTCACCTTGTCTAGTTTACTATTCAATTTCTCCATTGTGTTCCTAACTAAATTTGAATTTCTTTTTAAGAGTTTTTTTTTTTATTGTATTGTTACTTGATTGCCTGCTAAAATCATCATATTTTTAATAAATATTAATATTATTTTACATTTTGTATCATATAATCTGGTTCAATCTTTTTGACAGTGTTAGCAGATATGAATCTCTTTTTCTGTTGACTTTTTCTTAGTGGATGAACGTTTTCTTTTTGGAGTTCTAGATTTTTATATATTGATCAATTCTTTGAGATCTATTTTTCCCCATCTCAGCCTTCTTGAGGTAAAATTTACATAATAAAAACTATTAATTTTTGAATTTTGAATGCTGTATCACCCAGGAAATGATTTCCATCATGATACAGAGAGTTATTATCACCCTTGGATGAGTTCTTCTATTCTTTGCAATCCATCTCTTTTTCTGTTTTTGATAATAAATATATCTAAGTTCTTTAGGGTTTTTGTATTTAAATAC